GCTCTTATTGTTTGGGATGAAGCACCAATGAATCATAAACAATGTTTTGAAACTTTAGATAGATCTCTTCGTGATGTTCTCAAAGGTTCAAAACCAGGTTTTGACGATTTGCCATTTGGAGGAAAGCCAATTCTCTTTGGAGGTGATTTTAGACAAATTTTACCTATTGTCCCAAATGGAACTAAGGCTGACATTGTTGAAGCTTCGTTGACAAGCTCTTATCTTTGGCCTTATTTAACCATTTTTTTTCTCAAAGAAAACATGAGACTTTCAAAAACAGGTTTGAATGAAAAGGAAAAACAAGAGTTGACTGATTTTGCTAATTGGATATTACAAATTGGAAACGGTAGTGTCGCTAATTCTATATTGTCAACTGATGAAGAAAATTCTTGGGTTGAAATATCAAAAGACTTTCTCATTGATTTTGAAGACAATCCCATTGAAAAAATGGTTTCAACAGTGTACACAGATTTTCAAAGAAATTTTCATGATGTGTCATATTTGAAAGAAAGAGCTATTGTTACACCGCGAAATGACACAGTGACTGAAATAAATGATTTTATGTTAACTATGGTGCCTGGTGAAAATCGCACATATCTTAGTTTTGATTCTGTGTCTTCTTCAACAGAAAATGTTGAAAATCTTGATATACTATACCCATTAGAATTTTTGAACCAACTTGACTTACCTGGTTTGCCACACCACAAGCTGGCATTAAAAGTCGGTATGCCAGTAATGTTGCTTAGGAATTTAAATCAAAGTTCTGGATTGTGTAATGGCACAAGATTGGTGGTGATGCAATTAACTGATAGAATTGTGGAAGCAAAGATCATAACGGGTAGCAACATTGGTGAAAGAGTTTACATTCCAAGAATCATTACTGAGTCATCACAAAATAAATATCCGTTTACTTTGCGAAGAAGACAATTTCCTCTCAGAATTTGCTATGCAATGACAATTAATAAGAGTCAAGGACAATCTTTGAAGATTGTTGGGCTATTTCTATCTCAAACAGTTTTTTCTAATGGACAGCTCTACGTTGCATTATCTAGGGTCACCTCAAAAAAGGGTCTTAAAATTGTGATTGCTCATGATTGTGATATGCCTTACGGATACACAAAGAACATTGTTTATAAAGATGTTTTGAATCGTTTACATGAAGGTGTGTTGGTTTGTGTTTATCCATTCATTTTTGTTTTTCTCTTTTTACCTATTTTTTTGAATTCTAATGTATTCTTTGTTTCATCTGTGTGTTGTATGATTTTAAAGTTTTTATTTGCTTTTAAATTTACTTTGTATAGATTGATGGAGCATATGCCAATTCGTCTTTTGTTACCATACAACCCAATAAGCAAACTACAAGTTAGGATATGCAGAATTTGGGTGACAAAAAATATTGGAGCTGATCATCAACCTGCAAGTTTGGACTGTGTCTTTGTTGACAAAGAGGTTAAATCTTTACACTTTTTTTTTCATTATTAAATAGGTACAAATTTATATATGTCGAAATGCATTTATCATACAATTAGTATTACTTCAATTTTTCCTTCTCATTTATTTACATTCCATCTGGTTTTGTATTACAATTTCAATCTTTAATGCATATGAGAAAATATTTAAAATCTACATCATTTTATGCATTTTTTTGTATAAATGTCAATCTTTAAATTTTCAATTCTATTAAATAGTAACTTTGTTACTTTGTATGATTTGCTTTTATGCATATGTTACTGTATGCTATAGCCATACAAAACATGCTTTATACATTATTTGATATGTGATTTAATGCAATTTTTGCTCATTTAAAAACTAATCGATCTAATTTTGTTTTTCCCATCCAAAAGGGACATGCAATTCAGACAACCATGAAACCCTGGGACATCCAATTCTTTTTGGAGCATCTAAAAGTTGGGATCGTGTATGAAATAGATAAATTTCGTGTTATCCACAACAGAACGTCAAGCAAAATTGTCCCTCACGATGCTATGCTTGAGTTAAACAAAAACACTAGCATAGTCCCTGTTGAGAAACCAAATCAAGTGATACCAATGCATTGGTTTAATTTGATTGAATTTGATAACCTTGACCAAAGAGTTGATAAAGATGTACACCTAACAGGTAAATCGTCTAATTTTCACGATTGTCGCTATTCTAAAATCATTGTTCTTAGTTTTTAACTTAATAAGCTGATTCTTATAACTGTATCGTATGTAGATGTTTTTGGTTGTCTAATGGCTTTACAACCAATTGAAGACATCACTGTGCAAAATATTAGAGTTGAAAAAAAGCGAGACCTGCAACTTCAAAATACTAGGTAAACTATACTTCTCTTAAACTATAATTACATGTTTATACATATATACCCATATAAAAATTACATAAATAGTTTTGACTCCGTTTTGCAATTGTAGAGGTGAACAAGTTACAGTTACCCTGTGGGCAGAAACTGCAACAAACTTTCAAGAAGATGCATTAAAATCGCTTTCACCTCCTGTCTTCATTGTTTTGACTTCACTCAAAGTGAAGAAATATAAAGGTTATATCTTAACAAAATCTAAATGTTATCGCTTTTCTTTTGTATTTATAATTGTTTTCTTTGTATTTATAGGAAAACCTGTTCTGGGAACCACAGGCTCAACGGTTTGTATTTTCAATCCTGATATCCCACTACTTTCAGAATATGAACAAAAGTGAGTGCACAAATCTTATTTAATATTTATTTTCGTTTTTAATTTTATAGTCTATATTCTTGGACCTAAAAATTTGAAACTCAGGTTTGAATACCTCAAAACACCCATTGAAACTCTACCAACTTCTGCTGAAAAGTATGGGAAAAGTACTACTATCGTTGATTCAGAACAAAAGACAATTGCAGAATTGCTTCTTCTTGATCCGACATTAAACAAGGTCAATCCACCATCACTAAATTATCTCATATTTTGTCAATTGTATTATGCAACTACTTTGCAATTGATTGGTTGTTGTAATTTGGAAATCACATTGTTTCTTAGTTTATACTGTGTTGTGTATACAAAGTGTCATGTTGTTTGTTTGTTTCTTCATTTATAAGCTTCAACACAAAAAATTAAACAATTTATATTTTGTGATTCAATATACATTTTCCAAATGTCATTTCATGACCAAAATCTATATTCTACTTTATATTTTGTGTGTAAATGCATTTTATAAGGTGCAAATGTCATGTTTATGATTTTGTTCTCAAAATGTCATTTGTATTTGAAAATTTTATATCATACCAGAATACAAGTTTCATGTGTCAAGCAACAATTGTCGATTATGATCTGACAAATGGATGGTGGTACAAGTCGTGCCCGTATTGCCACAAAAGTGTGAGAAATACAAATGAAACCTTTCAATGCTTTGAGCATGGGCTGCTCAAAAAAATGCCTGAACCATGGTAATTTCCTAATTTCTTCTTTCTACATTGTTTACATCTCTTTGCAATCAATATTGTTTTTATTGCAAATTTTTTAAACTGCAAAACACATCTCATGACATCTTCATCTCTTATTTAGGTTTAAGATGAATTTTATTGTGGATGATGCCACAAATCAACTCAACTTTTTAGTGATTGGAAGGACTGCTGAAAAACTTTTGGGTATTTCTTGCCACTCTTTGGTCATAGAAGAAGGCTATGATGACTCTTCTGTCTTGCCACCACAGCTCCAAGAATTGGTTCACAGCACAAAAAAATTCCTGCTCCGTTTTGGAAATCAAAACAATGAGTTTGGCAACACCGACTTTGTTGTTCATGGAATAATTGAGGAACAAACATCAGTTGAACCAAAACTTAGTTCAATTGTACCATGTACACCTGCTAAGAACATTGGAAAACAAGTTATTGATGCAACAACCCCTCTCCCTTTTACTACCCTTGAATCTCAGACTCAACAAATCCAATCAGCTGCAACAAACAAGGGTGTAAAAAGAGCACTATTTGTTGAAAATGAACCTTCAAAAGCTCACAGGTTAATTTTTCCCTTTCAAGTAATGTTGGTATTTCATTAAACAAAAACATCATGTATGCACTTTATAATGCTCATTTCCATATTTTTTAAATTTGACATGTATTCACAGCAAACATGATGAGGGGAGCCAACAACGGTCTACTAATTCAACCAGAATCTCAGCAGAATTCTCTAACTTGGTTGTCCCAAAAGTTGAACCTGCAAACAAAAGTCCGATCAGTGCTTTAAGAAGTAGATCACAGGCAAAGAAAATCAAAGACAGGTATAGTGACATATTGTTTACAATAATCTATGCCAACTTGGACAATTACTTACTTTTTTGTTCTATTTTGCTGCTCAGTGTTGGAGATGTTCATTCGCCAAAGAAATGAACTATGGAAGACATCGTGATGGACTACTGCAAAGGATCAAACATATATATTTTTTGCTCATCCCACTAACGTGGACATATACTTTTTGCGAATTCAACTACTAAAGTCAACTAATGTACATACCATAAAAACATGTTTATTATGTTTTGCAACTGTTGGAATGATACAAACCCCTGCAGAACATGTATTTTGTCATGTTGTATGAACAAACAAAATATGTGTAAACTGCATGGTACTTCAGTCTCTAATGCAAAGACACTATATTTCGTCCTTGCAACTATTGTCAACGTAAACTTTCATTCAAGTAATTTTGATTGCATACTGACTCTCAATATTGACTTAATACATAAGCAATGTAAATGAAATTACTTTTTCTATAGATCAATTCACCCATATCTTGCTTTTTCTTTCATTTGGAGCTAATTGTGTAAATATGTGGTTTTGTAAACGTTACTCATGTTAAACATACGTTCTCTAACTTGCTACATTTATGAATGCAATTATATTACAAAAGCATTTTCAATCAATTTTCTATGAATATTATTCATCATCTAAAAACCCGCAGCAAAGCGCGGGCATTCATCCTAGTCATTACTAAAGAGCAAGGAATGCTTGACAGTAAAATAAAGGACTCAGGCAAACAAAAACATTCTTATCACTCACCAGAAACCCTTTGGCCATTCTTAACTTGCACAGTAAAAACAAGCAACAACAACAGGCGGCTTAAACGTTCAACACCTCCATTAATCACAGAGTCAGTTATTTCCCGATATAAGCAATTGAACATTAAGTTCAATTCCTTGGAGTCCAAATCCACACATAAACTTTCTAACGCAGACTTTAAGACTTCAAGAACAGTCTCTGAACCTGCAGGAGAAAGAGAGAGGGTCAAAGACAAGCAAAACCAATATAACTCCCAAATATATAGTTTATGGTCCAATAATATTTTATAAACATACTGCTGCATTACACATAACATACAAATTGAAGAGAGAACAACAAAGTCAATGTACAAATGAACAATTAAACCCAAAAAAACATATAATTTAGATTTTACTACCAACATCATTTTTCCCCTAAACCACACAATCATTCTCACATAACACTTTAGCAAGCCATAATTGCTAACATACTCGGGTAGTCTTGGATTAGTATCAGATGAACCTTGACCGACAACAAAGTATTCATGCATCAACTGTGAATATAGAAACAAAAAATACACTTTTACCATAAACAATAATTAATAGCAATATGATATAAAAATAGGTAAAAGCATAGTGAACAAGCTTTCCACTGACTCTACATGAGTGAGCTTTAAAATCCAGCTACCCTAGACATTCAATAACATCCAAAAATATATCTAATCAATTTTTCAAGACATCTAAAATAAACGTACATAAAGCCTTTGTTTAGAGAAAAACTTGCCTTCGTTGAATTGTTCACCAATGCAAAGTATCAAGTCGTCCATCAGGAAATGCAACACTCTCTCAGCTCTAGAATGGAACCTTGATGAGGTTCCTCTCATGACAAAATACAGTAATTTACTGACTCCCTCTTTTCTAGTATCAGTTGATTTCTTCACAACTTCAAACATGATCTTTCTGACACCTGTGCCAATTCAATGAGGACAAAAATTTATCAATTCCCATTAAAGGAACTTACTTCAAGTCTTCAACAGAACACTAGAATATACGGCAATATGGCCAACAATTTATTGTTATCTAAACTAAAATTACATATCCAGCTACAAGTGCTTAGAATCATAAAATATTAATTAAGACATAAAGGAAGTCAGTTTTCCATCAGATGTATGTAGTGCATATCAAGTTAGAAACTACAGATTATTATTCATTAATCACAGTATATCACAAATTTGATTGTATCATGGGAAAAACACAAACATCTAGATGATAATTGTCACCACATTAAACATGAGATGAAGAGTCAGTTAAAACACATAGAATTGCATTGTTTTGAAGTAAAAAAAAAGGTCCCTCAATCATTCAAAATAAATAAGCTATAAAGCATGCTTCAAGGGGACCTGTATAGAGATAATCCTACATTTCCCATCAAAAAAAAATCCAACAGGCTAAAAGTGAAAACATAAAATATGCAAGGTTGTACCTTCTTTAAGTTGTTCAAAGGGTGCATTTCTCAGCAAGAATGAGACCGCTTCTGCCATACATTTTTGGATGTGATATTTTGGATAGTACCTCAATTTTACAGTAACCCTGCAAAATGCATGTATATATATTATATACATATATTTATATATATCATAAGAACTGAGATTATGAGAGGAAAGAGAGTAAAAATGCATCCTCACATGAAATTGCAATGTAACAATCACTTATTCGTACAAATTGGACCAAAGGGAACTCAATACCAAAATTTTCAAAACTCAAAGAAAACACTAACTAAGCCTGATTAACATATTTTTCAAATAATCTGATATTTCTCAAAGAAATATTTTCACCATCAAATTCTGAAAGTTAAAATAGACATATTTTTGTCTACAATAAATGCACATGGTTTGCTTCAACGTAATAATCAAAATAACTAAGTGATACAGGAACTTACTTTAGTATATGCTTAATCTTTTGTACAAGATATTTTTGTAAGTACATCATAATAGATGACCAAGATGTAAAGATCTGCACAAAACCACCGTACACTATGAGTTCATGTCGAAATTAAAATGCCAACCTGTAAACCTAATAAAAATTAAAATTAAATAACAATCCTTAAAATAAATTGGACCTGCTCAATGATCTCTGGCTCCTTATCTGTACCACTTTCTAGAAGAGACACTAGAGAATCAGCAATCCTCGGCAAGAAACTGGAAGAAGAAGAAGAAAAACCACGTAGAGTGACCATAAATACATGCATCAAAAGCAAAAGGGCATGATGGGATTCTACAGTACACTGGAGCAAGTCGCCTTGAATATTCAATACCAATTAAGGAAGTAAAAGCAACAAACAACAAGCAGCTACAAGTTAAATTCATTCTAAAGGATGACGAAACTCACGGGATAAAGTCCTCCAAGAGATCTCTTGACAGAGCGGCGATTAACCTGCCCAAGAACACAGCTTATTGAGAAAGAAAACAAAAATCTCCAATCTCGGAAAACATTAAATTCCAACTAAACAATCAAATATCTCAAAAGGGTTGGCGTCAAATAAGCTAACATACGTGAGAATGGGCTCAAGCGACAGCCTTGCATCCATCTGTAATCTCGAAACGAGTTCTGAGATTATGGTTTCCTTGTGCAACAGAATCAAAGGCAACGTTTGGACCAACGGCGTCATTTGCTCATAGAAAGAGATGAAATCCTCAGCCGTGTTCAGTTCCTACACCCGAATCAGCAAAACAATCATGAAACCAAAAACCCAGAAGAAAAAAAATACATATACATATACACGCATATATACATATGGAGAAAAATCTTAAGCAAACTTGAAGAATTACCCTCCATTCGATGAGGCAGTCCCGGAAAAAAGTAGAGCCCTCATGCGGCTCCGACTTAACTTTATCGAGGCTTCGGAAAACATCAATTTCGACATCATCAAGTCTCTCAAAGAAATTCTTGAACTGCAAATACAAAAGCCAGCAAATAAAATTACCAAAAAAATAATTTGAAGCATGAAATAAGACGAACAAAGAGCTGGAAGCTTCAAACGGCGGCGTGAGAAAGAGGGCTTACAACGAAACGGCGGCGTCCGGGGGATTTGTTGAGGGACTTGACGGCCTGAGCTTGGGAGAGAGTGGCCAATGGCCATGGTGGACTGAGAAAGCGGGTGGAGAAGAAGGGGGAGGGTTTTGGTTCGGGGAGGCTGCTCGCCTCTCTTCTTCTTGGAGTTCAGCAGCGCTGCTGGTGAAACTGACCTTCGACTTTTGGAATGGGGTTTAACAACCCGAGAAGGAGGCTATTGGGTTTTGGGTCGGGGCAGGTCGGTTTTTGAATTTTTGTTTTTAATTTTTTACTGGATCGGCTTCAAAATGTAGGTCGGGCAATTGGGCCCAAGAGCCCCAAGGCCCCAAGGCCCATCTTTGACATTTAATATATACACCCAAACTCTCCAAGTCTAAGGCCCAAGGTCCATGGCTTTGGCCCAATTCATTTCAAACTATAAGTGAGTGAAATCACTTATAAAGACTTAGTATGAAAAGGGTTTGGGCGATGTGGGACTGGCAGTCCCACATAACACAAGTTTCCAACAGTATATATACGAATGCTTTTGGTGGCCTTCATTTAGTTTATTACTAATATGACCTCAACCATTTGAATTTTTTTTACAGCCCTCTCACTCGAACATATAAAGCTAGTTTGGTATTGTTGTGTTTGTTAACAAAAACTGCTACTAGTGTGTTAAGAATAAACATATGTAAAATAAAGCAATTGAGTGTTTGGTAAATATTTTTTGTAAAACTGCTTTTAACGAAAAAAACAATATTGAAGTGTTTGTTAAATTTTATATAAACTATTATGACTATAGTAAATGAATAAAAATGGTATGATGTTGGAGGTGATATAGTAATTTAATTTTTTGTATCTATAAACTTTATCTACTCTCTTTACAGAAACCCTCTTTATCTTGTCTCCCTCAATAAGATTATCATGAATTTGAAAGATATGGATAATAAAATTGATGATGAGGATCAATCTTAGATTTTGTTGTTCTTTAGCTCCTTGGTATGCGAATTTTGTGGAAATCTTGTGGCCAAACTAAACTCAAGTCCAAACGAGTTATTCTGTCAGTTGCAGTTAATATATCTTGACCACTGCATCAGCTCGATGTTAAAAGTATTCTCTTTGTGTGGAGAATAGAGTTAAAGAAAAAAGTATTTGGAAATTCGAATGATGCTCATTCTGAGACTTTGGTAGCACGAGGCAAAGATAAAGAATATGGTTTAAATAGTAATAGAGGAAATTCGAGATCTAAATCTAAGACCAGAAACAATACATGCAATTATTGTCGCAAGGAAAGGCATTGGAAAGTTGATTGCCTTGAACTCGAAGATAAATATTATAGTTCCTCCAATTTTGGTACTAGCGCGAACGTCGTTGACAACGCCATCAAATTTGTTCTATGATGAATGTTCGACTGCACCAAAATTGAAACAAGGAATCTTGTGTTTTAGGTACTCTTGAATCTCTCTGCCACACTTGGAGATTTAAGAATTTGTAACAATTGTTTCTTATGATTTGAAAAATAATTATTGGTAGCCTCTATGTAGAGTGGAGTAGCAAAATTATTAGGGTTGTTAGTTGCCTCTTCATCAATTTTTATTTTTGGATATTGGTATAGTTCTGTCTTTTGGTAAAGTTGTATTCAATGAAGGCCAATTTTTCAAGTTCTATGAAGTTGTGATAGTGAGACACCACATTATTTTGGAGACACAATATGTAATTGTGGAATAATTGTGTAGAACCCTCTTATAAAAGGCAAGTTGTATGTACCATTAGCATTAGTAGATTTTAAATGATGAAAAAATAGCTTTAGTATACGAACGGCAATTCTTCGAGAAATAATTGTATATCAATCATCGATTAGATAAAATTACATATCAATTAAGCATACAACAAACCATGCGGAGGCAAGCACTGCACAATAGTCCATTAAGACATTCTGTCAAACATTTGAAGAGCAGTGTTCAAGGGATGCATAGAAACTCAAAGTGGTAACTCTTAAGGCCTTCAATGGTGAATTCACTCAATAATTCAAAATTTTCATGTCAAATTACAGTATGTTTGTCAATTGTATTTGATATTTCTTTGTGAAAGACAATCATTTTGTTATAGAAGTGAAAGATAAACAAAGCTCTAAAGAATTGGAAAAGCAAAAATGTCGTTGAAGTAGTTGGAGTCGTCATTCGATTTGCAACCACATTTAAAAAAATTGATTAGCTTATTCACTTTCCTTTTGTTTATGGGTGATTTTTTTATCAATAAATGTTTAGTGTTAACAATAATTTCAACAATATTTATAATCATGTATTGAGATATATTAAGACCAACTCAACCCTGGCCAAGGCCAGTACTTTTAGGCCTTTGCCATTTGACCTTGGCAAAAAAATTGGCCCGAGCAAAAGAAAAAAAAAATGAAAAATGAAAAAACAAGATCTAGGCCACGACCAAAACGAATAGGAGCCACCTTTGCAGGTATGTTCCATGTTTTGCCCAGCACAACGACGCACCAAAGGGCCCACCACTGACAGGCCCGTCGCTCACCATTAGCTGCTTTGCATAGCTAAAATCAATGATCGTCAGTTGATCAACAGTCGTATTTCAAAAAATAAAAAACGTTTATTTACTTTTACTTGTAATCCAACAGCTGTGATCAAATGAGTTAAAATATAATGGTAAAATATGATCCAACGACCCAAATTAAAATCTAAAGGTTGTGATAATTTAAAAAAAATTATTATTTAACTCAAATTTCACCCCCAAAACACTATAAATACCCATCCATTTGTTCATACATCCACTTGTTCCACACAAAATATGTGAAAGTGTGGTTCGTATGTGTCTATTGTGTGATTTTTCATACTTTATTTCTCAAATTCTAGTCTCGGCTCCGCCGTAGCATGATAAAAATTAAAATTAAATAACAATCCTTAAAATAAATTGGACCTGCTCAATGATCTCTGGCTCCCTATCTGCACCACTTTCTAGAAGAGACACTAGAGAATCAGCAATCCTCGGCAAGAAACTGGAAGAAGAAGAAAAAGAAGAAGAAGAAGAAAAACCACGTAGAGTGATGATGCGAGATTTATACGCACACAAATTAAACCCTCTTTTTATCAATTGTAGTAAGTACGTAAGTAGGGATCGTTCTGGACCGGGGATTAGGAGGGATTGTTAACCACTTGGATTTGACTTCAAAAATGTAAAAACAAGATAAAACACTAAACTAGACTCAAAGAATGTGAAACTAAACGTTAAAACACTAAGACAAACCAAAAGACTCAAAATGCTTTAAAAACACAAACTAAATTGATTTCTAACTAAATTGAACAATAAAGTAAAGGGGGATTGGATTTGGACAACTTTAAACTAAAAATGGAAACTTGGAAACAAAACAAATTGTAAATATGGATTTGACGGAAATGAATGGATGGGAAGCTAGCTAAGGGGTTCATCTCCACATATGTTATACTTGCATACAAAACGATGTCTAATTGCTTTTCAATAAACCATGAATTCTCAACGCCCCGGGTTAATTAGGTCCGCTTAAATTAACCGTCAAGTTTTCCTTAAGTTAATGAATTGGATGATTGCATACGACAATCCAAAGCATTCCTCACAAGTTCCCTACATGAATTGCATAATAGAGATACAAGCAAGAATCATTAAGCATCATGAAAACTATAAGTGTTGACGAGGCATTCGTTACTATGATTGCATGAAACTTATGCCAAGAATATGTTTAACACGATTGTTTATAAGCAACCTCCACTACTTGTGAATATAAGTTCATAACTATTACGTGAAACTCACTTATATTCTAGCGTCAAATTCATGCATGAAAATTAAGCGTTCATTCTTAATAAACATACATAAATAGGTTATCAATCAAGCAGTTAAACAAATTGAATTCACAACTTATGGAACGTAATTAAAAGTAATCAAATCATATTACAAACATAAACATAGTTTCGAATTACCCCCTAGCTAAAGGGGGTTCAGTTCCTCATAACTTTGAAATCAAAGAAACACCTAAACATTCCAACAACTCAAAACTTTGAATTGTATGAACGTTTAAGCACTCTTTTCTTCCATTTCTCATACGTACAAAACAAAGAGAATTAAAATGAAACTTTGAAATCAAAGAAACACCTAAACATTCCAACAACTCAAAACTTGAATTGTATGAACGTTTAGGCACTCTTCTCTTCCTCGTTGTTGTAGCACAAGGTTTAAGGATAGGTTGGTTGGGGGGATGGAAGTGTTGGGGAATTATGGAAATGGATGAGGATTGGTGGAAATGGAAGATGGTTTTTGGATTCTAAGGGAGAAAGGAATGTGTTTGTGGTGTGTTGTTGTGTTGTGAATGAGATGATTCTTGAATGAATGAATGCAAGGGTATTTATAGGAGGAGTGGAGATGTATATGGCTATTTGTTTAAGGTGTTTGTGGTTGCAATGATGAAGAATTGCATGTGGAAATAAAAGGGAAAATGTGGTGAAATGATGAAGTAGGAAAGTGGAAATGCATGTGAGATGTTGGAAAGGAAATGGGAATATGAGTAGGCCATGGCATGGGAGTTGTTTTGTTGGTGTAAATGTGCCATGGTTGCAATGATGAAGAATAAAGGGTGCATGTGGGGTGGAAGTGATGAATGCAAAGTGAATAAATAATGAAATGAGTTAAAGAGGGAGAATGTGGTGAAATGATGAAGTAGGAAAGTGGAAATGCATGTGACTTGTTTGTGGAATAAAGAATGAATGGTTGAATGATGAAGTGAATGCATGTGGAATTAAAGAGGGAGAATGTGGTGAAATGATGAAGTAGGAAGGTGGAAATGCATGTGAGATGTTGGAAAGAGGTGGGTGTGCATGTGAGTTGAAATGCATATGTTTAAATGGTTGAAATGTGTAGATAATTATGAGTATGATAAGTGATAAATGTATGGTTATGATAAGTGAATGGTGAATGATATGTTAAGTGATAAATGAATGATATGTGGTGAGTGATAAGTGAATGGAAGTGATAAGTGATAAGTGTATGTTATGATAAGTGAATGGTTTGATAAGTGATAAATGAATGATATGTGGTGATAAATGAATGATATGTGGTGAGTGATAAGTGAATGGAAGTGATAAGTGATAAATGTATGATATGATAATTGAATGATATGTTAAGTGAATGATATGATAAGTGAATGCTTTAAGTGTTTAAAAATAGGGAACAAAACCCTTCCTTGCATGGCAAGGAACAGAGACACAAGGAAACACACGACAATGTCCTAAGGTTGCAAGGAATGTTGTTTTTGTGTTCTAAAATGCGTAGGAGTTTTCAATGATGCTTAAACATGAGGTCTTTTAGGATTTAACTTTCCTACTTCAAGTCTTTAATTTCGTCCATCCTCTTGGCTCCAAGCATATGATATCCATTCCAATCTCTAATTTGCTCCAAAAGGCTCCAAAAGGCATCTTTTTGCATACCTTGCCCTTAGAACCTGAAAACACACAAAAGAAGCATAAAGGACTAAAATAACTAGAGAAACATAACGTAAATGCACGAGAACAAGCCATTTAAGTCGCATGAATATGCTCCTATCAAGTGACCATAAATACATGCATCAAAAGTAAAAGGGCATGATGGGATTCTACAGTACACTGGAGCAAGTCGCCTTGAATATTCAATACCAATTAAGGAAGTAAAAACAACAAACAACAAGCAGCTACAAGTTAAATTCATTCTAAAGGATGACGAAACTCACTGGATAAAGTCCTCCAGGAGATCTCTCGACAGAGCGGCGATTAACCTGCCCAAGAACACAGCTTATTGAGAAAGAAAACAAAAATCTCCAATCTCGGAAAACATTAAATTCCAACTAAACAATCAAATATCTCAAAAGGGTTGGCGTCAAATAAGCTAACATACGTGAGAATGGGCTCAAGCGACAGCCTTGCATCCATCTGTAATCTCGAAACGAGTTCTGAGATTATGGTTTCCTTGTGCAACAGAATCAAAGGCAACGTTTGGACCAACGGCGTCATTTGCTCATAGAAAGAGATGAAATCCTCAGCTGTGTTCAGTTCCTACACCCGAATCAGCAAAACAATCATGAAACCAAAAACCCAGAAGAAAAAAAATACATATACATATACACGCATATATACATATGGAGAAAAATCTTAAGCAAACTTGAAGAATTACCCTTCATTCGATGAGGCAGTCCCGGAAAAAAGTAGAGCCCTCATGCGGCTCCGACTTAACTTTATCGAGGCTTCGGAAAACATCGATTTCGACATCATCAAGTCTCTCAGAGAAATTCTTGAACTGCAAATACAAAAGCCAGCAAATAAAATTACCAAAAAAATAATTTGAAGCATGAAATAAGACGAACAAAGAGCTGGAAGCTTCAAACGGCGGCGTGAGAAAGAGGGCTTACAACGAAACGGCGGCGTCCGGGGGATTTGTTGAGGGACTTGACGGCCTGAGCTTGGGAGAGAGTAGCCATGGTGGACTGAGAAAGCGGGTGGAGAAGAAGGGGGAGGGTTTTGGTTCAGGGAGGCTGCTCGCCTCTCTTCTTCTTGGAGTTCAGCAGCGCTGCTGGTGAAACCGACCCTCGACTTTTGGAATAACAACCCGAGAAGGAGGCTATTGGGTTTTGGGTCGGGGCAGGTCGCTTTTTGAATTTTTGTTTTTAATTTTTTACTGGATCGGCTTCAAAATGTAAGTCGGGCAATTGGGCTCAAGAATTGCAAAACTCATTTTCAGCCCACACCTAAAAGTGGGGCGATTGCTGAGCCCCAGTTTGCGGGACTGCCCGATCAGACAATTTCTCGCCCGACCGTGCGCCCGGGTTTGATCTAACATCATGTTGACGTTAGCATGACATCAGTCGCGATCAAAACCCAAATCTGCCGCAACCTGCCATTGTTCCTCTCTTGTGGAATCCTCGTTGCCGCAGCCTATCACTGATTCCCACCCATTATTATTAGTCAAACAGAAAATGTAACAGAAACAGAATTTAGAGAGAGAAAAAGAGGGGGGAGAGAGAGATTTATGCGAACACAGAACTATGGAGATAGGTCTCATTGAAGCCTGACTATAAGGGTGAGGTGGTGGTGGTTTCGCCGGAGGTGGGTGTTTTGTCGGAATTTCTGGGTAAATTTCAAAGTGTCATAACTTCTTCATTTCTTAACCATTTTCGACGTTCTTTATATCAAAATGAAGGTATTGACGAGACGAACACATCCATACCTTCCTCGACCTCTAACTCGCCGTGGATTCGCCGGAAAAAGCCTCGAAAGCTCCGGCCAAACTTTGAACTTGTCATTCTCCTTGTTCTTACGTCCATTTTTCACATAATCTATACCAAAATGAAGCCCTAATCATAATCTACCACGTTGGACTAGTTTTAGGGCCTAAAAACAACGGAATCAAACTTTTCCAAAAATACGAAAATTCGGCCAAACTTACAGTTTGTGATCCCGACGTCCAAATCCTTCAAACGAAGCACTCCGAGCTTCCTTAGGACCTCACCAAGCTTCCTACAAGCTTCAAAATCCCAAAAACATCAAGTCTTTACGTGTGCATGAACAGTGCACACGCACAGTGAAATTGAAATCCATGTTTTCCGAAGTGAAACTCACCTGAAATTGGTACCATCGTGTTCGTGTGGTCTTCAGGAGTACGATGGTGGTCTTAGATCCTTCGTTGGTATAGTTTTAGGGTGGTTTGTGGGTGGTCTGTGTGAGTTCGAAGGAGAGAGAGAGAGAGAGAACTCTGAGAAAATGAGAGATTTGTGAGGGAGGAGAGAGAGAGACAAGATGCAGAAATGGGGGAGAGATTTGAGGGATGTGGGATCCTACCCAATCCCTAAATCATCAAGTTATAACATATTTTACGCCCCTTAGTCCCGTTTAAGGGCATTTTCATAACTTCACGTCCTCGGAATTAAAATTCCGGGACGGGTTGTGACATTACAAACACACTGTATAACGTTTTTCCAGACAAATACATTTCAAAAATTAAAAAAAACTTTATGTACCAAATGCATGGAATGATCTAATTTAATATTATATCATGAACCAAATGATCATTATGAGTCAGTGTAACATTAAGTAATGTATCAAACTTTTGTTACATTACAAACACACTGTATAACATTCTTCTAAACAAATACGTTTCAAAAATAAAAAAACTTTACGTACCAAACGCCTTGAATGATCTAATTTAATATTATTTCATGAACCAAACAATCAATATAAGTCAGTGTAACATTAAGTAATGTACCAAACTCCTGGTACATTACAAACACACACTGTATAACATTTTTCCAGACGGATACATTTCAAAAATAAAAACTTTACGTACCAAACAATCAATATGTGTCAGCATAACATTAAATGACATACCAAATTCTTGGTACATTACAAAGTTGCAGTCCAATAATGTACCAAATTAAAAATGTTAACCGGTACATTTGAGCCAACACACAAACATAAATAATATGGCACAAAGTCAACTTATATTCTCAACAGAGCAATGAAAATTACTTGCAAGTACGTTTCTACTAAACCAAAATAAATACAAAATATTATCCTAATGAAGGTCCAGCAAAGTGCATTCTCGGAGCAATTGAAAAGATGGCAATCACCACAATGATGCCTTATTCAACTAGTACTAATATAGTAGCATTTTGCCCACTGTTGGCTCCAATTAAATTCATCATTTAAAAGACTGCTTACTATTGTAGCTCTCAATTCCTTAATGTCTTCGTCTTCAAAATGTTCAAAAACAGGTATACCCGAAGCCATGCTCTCCATGATGTTTACTATTCTTAGCCATTGGTAGCGTCATAATGTACCTGAAACATTTTTAGTCAAATAATTTGTACCAATATATATATAAATTCTAGGCCGCAAGATGTCCACACCAATTATATATATAGCATACTACACGAATCATAAATTATAGGCTACAAACGTACCAAAAGGTAGGTGTCAAACTACGAACATGTTTACCAATTAAAAATTGCTATCAAAATCTTAGAATTCAAAAGACTATCAAAACCAAATAGCATATAATATTCATGTTCAAGCACACTACAAGAAGAGATGTAGCAGTACGCTAACAAATGTACCACTCATAGCCTTGCTCAGGACCCTCAACTTCTTATACTAGCTACGTACATTGCGATGTAACTTCTAGCAAGTTGGATGGATCTGAGATCCAACCGAAGCTCCATATGGGATTCTTAATTCGATTAATACTAAAGCCCTAGTTAACAATTTGGCTAATACACAACATGCATTGACCCTAACACGTGAATCATTTTTTTAACTCGATAACAACTTCAGCTATACCTAAATTAATCAAGTCTTCATCTTTTTTTTTTTTTTTCGTTTAATCAAAACCTTCGACTTCAAATGACAATCAAAATCAACGCACCCAACTGATAATTGAATAAAAATCATTAATTGGAACCTGAATACAAACGTTGACCTCGATACGAAAAGAAGGCTTCTAAAACTTATGGCACGTTCATAGGAAGGAAGTGCCGCTGGAAAATAAGATTCACTAGAAAAATAACATTATTAATATCCTTAAATTCAAATCCTTCTGATATTCAACAAGTATTCTTCTTGGATTAAAACTCTGAGACATTAGTTAGCAAGAATCTAGGAAACTTGCGTGCATTTTGGGGTGAAGAAACTGGATACGGCAAAGAGATATGTTAAAGGCTATGGCAAAATATGTAATTTAAGTGCATTACAACGGGTTAATTAAAGTACACATGGCACCAAAATTGTAGAAGAATGTTTAATCAAATTGTTAAATTGAACAGATGTTTAATCTAAGAATCCTAAAAATGAGGGGTCTATATCAAAATGCCCCTTTTTTCTAATAGCACTTGTGTTTCTATTTCTATCTGCTTGGGTTTTTCTGAAACTATTTTTACAAAGGCATCTATTCCTTCTTTGGCAGGAATTTTTTCTAATTGTAATGACTGCCTAAGCTGTTGTATGTTATTGGAGTTTTGATCTATACTGGAGTTAATTTTATTAGTATCTTCTATGGTAGGTTTTGGACGAGTCAATTTTGTTTTCGCTTTCTTAATGAAATCTAGTTTTTCTGAAATTCTTTTAATTTCTTCTTGAAAATTTAAAGGTTTATCCATGGAGCCTTGTATATAATCAATTTTCTTTTCAATATTATTGAGCTGCGTGCCAATTGTAATCTTGTACTAGGACATGCAACTCCGAATGAATATGCATCATGCAAACAAGTTATGAAAATAAAATTCTTTTTGTGGGAAGTTATGACATACCTCCAACTTGAAAGCGGTTTCCCGAAAGTTTCTTTTACAAACTATTTTACAATAGAGTTGCTACAAACAAGGCTTACTAACTTCAACTTCTTCTGAGAGCATGAAGGATTGTTAGCTCGGGGCGGGGCGCTTGTTTTTCGCAATGAAATACAACACATATTTATACGAATCTCTCAGGCCATAGTGGTCCCAAAGAGGAAACTAAAAATATTCGTTTTTGAGATATTTTGGGAATAAATTCCCTTATCTCTTTATTTTACATACAGCTTTTCTTTGCGTGGGCGCGAACTAGTGAGTGAACGATTACTCTACATCGTCCATGGGATCAAGATTCATTTGGCTGATGAGGACGACGTTTGAGCAGGAAAAATGTGGCAAAATCCGGTAATGAGGTCTTGGGTTAGAGTGTCATTGGGCTCCTTGGATTGAATTTTCTGAAGCTGACTGGCTGTGAATTGAGAATGAACCAACTGCTTAAGGTAGGCGTCCATGCGAGCTTGGACTCGGTCTTCGACTTCCTTGAGCATATTTTCTGTGAATGAGGCTTCTGCTTGTAATGGCTCTACATCTTCTTCTTGAATTCTTTTGGTTTACAAGTCTTCAACTTTCTTGGAGACTTTTGTTGTCTTGTGCTGAATGGCTTGCCTTTCTCTGAAAGTCTGCATTATCTTCTCATGCTATTTCCTCTCTTTCTCTAATCTTGCTGCTTCTTCTTCAATCTCCTTCATTTTCTTTTTGTCGCTCTTCTCCAGCTTTTCTAGCTTTCTCTAAAAATTCTTCGCTCGTCTTCATCATCTCTTTGGTATTCTGCTGCTTTGACATCTTCATAAGTCTTATCTTCAGGATTAACTAATGGTGCTGAATCTGGTTGAACTTGCTTCATTGCTAAAGCAAGGCTGGATCCTAGTGCTGCTTTGGCATATTCTGATGGCTTGATCAAACTGCTGCTGCTTGGCTTAGCAAAATTGGTAGAAACCAATGGTGCTGTGACATCTGGGGCCTTTTGTGATTTCTTGTGACTGACAGGGACGAATCCCAACTTGGTAAAACAAATACGATCCTTGGTAATAAATGCAGCTCCGTCATGTTGACAAATAAATCTAATTCCTATGACAAAATCAGCATCAATATTGAGCTTCTTAACATCCTGTATCCAAGTATGTTGTGGAAGACCATATGGTTGACTCCATGCATCACAATTAGTTTTAAATTGAATTGTGGCTGGCATAAGTAAATGAGTATAAGTATGTGACAATCCACTCATGCTGTCCA